TTTTTGTACCAGGGATTGAACTCAGGACCTTGAGCTTGCCAGGCAGGTGGCAGCACAACTGAGCTAAATCCCCAGCTAGAAATATTTTTTATAATCACTCAGAATCTTTCATATGTCTTACTAAAATTTATTTGTTTTATTCACATGTATCATACCTTTTTTCAGTTTATTTCTAGGCATGTCATACTATTATTGTTATCACTGCTATTGATTTTGAGAATAGCTTCTCCATACCCCTATGGGACATTATTGGTATGTAATCAAATTACTAGACACTTTATTAACTTTTTCTTAACTAATTTTAAGATCTAGTATTTTAAGCAGCTACAGGTTACTTCATAACTACAATATAATCTAATGATCATAGAAATTATAATTTCATTGAAGTTATACTCATCTCCATTCACAGATCATTAGATGCACCACAAATGGTTTGGACAGACTATTACAGCAACACAGTATTAATTCACTTTGTCAAGTGCTGACTCAGTAAATGTCCATTCAAGATGTTTCAGTAAGTGCTGCAAAGAGACAGACAGAGTGCCTACTCTTTAAGGATTTACATATCAACAAGTATAGACCCTACCTGAGACACAAAAGCCTACAGGACTAGGAGCTCAGCATTAAAGAATAAAGAAGAATTAAAATGTTGTAGAAGTGGGGGCCAAAGGGAACTCTAGCATTAGAATGAAATGAATGTTATTGGCAGGCAGTGACAGATAGGATGAAGAAGGCAGGTGTTCCAGGAAGAACATAACAGTACAATGTAGCAGGGCAAGTACATGATACATTAACGAAGTTGTCAGTATGTTTTGGATCATTTGTAAGCCACATGCAGGGGAAATCCTGTAAAATAAAGACAGGAAAGTAACTGGGGAAATGCTTGTTAGAGACCATCAATGAAGAGTGAGCCTTTGCTCAGAATAAAAGTACTGGGGGTCCACCAGCAGGTACAGAAAACTACTTTTATACCTTTTTTTTTTTTTTTTGGTGGCGGGGATTGAACCTGGGTCCTTGTGTTTGCCAGGCAGGCAGCAGAACCACTGAGCTAAAACCCCGGCAGGAAACTATTTTTAAAATAAACACATCAAAAGTATAAAATGAGAAAATATGACATCATTATAATTATTCTGTAGTTAATAACATTACTTATTATGAAAGTTATCTTTAAAAATTCAAGTTATACTCCAAAGATATCATATCAGAATGCAGTTTCAGGCCACAGCCTTTAAGTGTAATGAAGTTTCTCTAAATAGAACTCACAACTGCCATTCACAGCTGACAACCAATTAGGCAAATGGAGATATTTAGAACAAATTTCATTGATCTAAAAAACAACCATAACACTCAACTCTTTAATAAGATTGTGGTCCAATGCATAAATCAACGTTTATCAGAACTTTCAAAGACAACTTCATAACAGGGAAAAAGCACAAGGTCCTGAGTTCAATCCCTGGTACAAAAAAAAACTGAGGAAGAGGGAAAAGTTCAGAAATGGAAACTAATTTTCATTTTCAGGAAAATTACATTTTTAAAAATGGCTTAAGGAAAAACATTTAACTGCTCATTCATTTCTGTCCATTTCCCCGACACGTCTATGTCCCTAGTCTCAGCTACCCTAGCTGGAAACTTCAGAAGTCGTCACACAGCTCCTCCCTCACTCCCCACATCCAAGTGTCTACTGTGTCTTGTGAACTACACCTTTCAAATGTCTAAGGAATCAGAGTATGGCCTGGTTCTATTTCTATGCAGTTTTCTCCTCTTACAGCCTTCACACCCAGAGATTACTCACTTTAGCCACCTCTACTGATTCCTGCAAAATCTTTTTAAAATGCAAATCTAGCCTTGCTTTTAAACCCTGACTGCCATCTGAATAAGGTCAGGTTCTTCAGAGTGCAAAAGGCTTCATGATCTGGCCTCTGACCCTATGATGCTTCACGCTTCATTATGTTCCAGCACCATGAAAATTCTCCAATTCCTAGAACCACTTGTGCTTTCTTTTCCCCGTGGGCCTCTGAACATTATTCCTTCTAGCAAGGAAACTTACATGCTTCCTGCTACTCCTTTTATTTGGGTGACTATCTTTCACTAATCAGGCATCGATTCTTCTAAGAAACCATCACTGATGCCCTGAGCCTCAGTAAGAAGTGCTTTCAAGGTCTAGGATGTAACACTGTGCCTGAAGATCTCACCCTGTTTGTTCCTCACCCAGACTACAAATTCCATAAAACAAGAAACCTTTCCATCTTGTTCTTCAGTAAGTTCCTAGACCTTAGCGTAATGTTTATCCCAAATGTTAGGTGCTAAATATATGCTGATCGGAGGTAAAATGGCTACTAGTTTGTAAACAGGTAAAGATGGTAAATCTATTTGTAATTGGTTATTCAGAAAAGAGCACCCCTAGCTGTTACATAGAAAAAGCATTAACTGGAAATGAACTGTACCATCAAAATGTTACTCACTGGACTGCTACTGCCTTGAGGGACGGACTATGCGTTGTTCACTATTATGTATCTCCACCATCTAGAATAACAGTGTGACCATAGTAAGCACTTTCCACATACCTACTGAATGAAAACTAAAAGTAACCTCTATGGTTAACCTAATGCCAAGGTTAAGACAATGGTTCAGTGGAAATCCTGAGAGTTCTGGGAAAAAATCTTGCTGCATAGAAAAAGAGTAAGGCAGAGCTAACAGCTGAAGGTGTTGGGGCAAAGAGGATTCTGCTAATACCAATGGTTCCATCAATATATCCACATGTAATGCAAAAATCATCTTCATATATA